CCCAAAATTAACGCTCTGCACGCGCACAAAACACGATCCCGGGGGAAGAGAAAAAAAGGAAGGACGCGCAATATCCAAGAGCAACATGATTTTTGGCGCTCGTGTGATTTGTGCGCGTTTGCGAAGCCGGTTGATGCGCTTTGCAATGTGGCGCAAAATCACGCGCGATTAACGCGTCGTCCCATTAAGCTTCTATATTTACATAAAAAAAATGCGCCTGTAAATGTAAGCGCGCCGTATTTACGATGCAACCAGCGAGGATTTAGCGAAGTTTATGGCGTGGATGTGATGAGACAGGAAAATAAAAAAAAAATCACCGGAAAAATGCGACGCCCGCGTCGAAATTTTGCTTCCATTTTCAACTTCAATTTTTTCACGTTTATGGATTCTGAAGGAGACTTCTCAACAGGTTTAATTTATATAATTGAGCTCTCTCATTTTATACCTCAAGTAGACAGTAAACGAACAGTTTTTCACTTTGAGGTTTAAAAGAGGAACTTTCATTGAAATTATAAGTTAAATAAAAGAAAATAAAAATTGATATTGAAAATCCCAGTCGAAAATTTTTCTCCTACTTTAGATTTCAATGTTTCAATCTAACATTTAGTTTAATATTTTAACCGCTCAGATTATCCTATTTTGAAACAATAGTTTTTCACTCAGATTTAAAGAAAGAATTTTTGGTAAAAATATAAAATTAAATAATCTATATTTTTAAAGGCTCTTCTTTGAAACTTGAATAGAGAAATTATTCGTTTACTGCCTATTTGAGGTACAAAATAGGAGCTCAATATAATACAATTCCTATATAAATGAAACCTATCAAAATCCTGCAGAATCTATAAACGTGAAAAAATAGAGGCTGAAAATGAAAGAAAAATTTGGATTGGAGGTAGGAAAAATTTCGACTCGGAGTATTTTGTATAAATATCCATGACGTTTATTTGCTGTATTTGCATCAATTACCATTTCATCATTGTAACGTTTTATATTTTATTCGATGTGATTTAGTGTTACAATAATAAATGTCTATGATACTCGATTCGATCGAGTTCGTACCAGATGGACGCCGTAAAATTGGATTACGAATTCAACGGTCGTGTCTATCTAGGAATTGTACACCGATATCACAGGCACTGAAGATCATTTGCATCGTTATAGTCTTTTTGTCGAACTGCGATATTTGCTCCGAAATGTTAGTTTCTATAAAACTACATCGTAATAAAATAATAATACTCTATAATGCTTTCATAAATAATTCTTATGTTTTCTAGTCAATTTATTTTATTTTGTTTTCTAGTCAATTTATTTTAATTTGTTTCTGTCTCATATTATCAGAGAATTAATATTCTATCTTCAGATCCTTCTATCTTCCTTCTATCTTCAGAGAAAAAAGCTATGAACGGAAATGATTTATATTCTAAATAGTCAGGCGGATATTGAATCGAAAATCCAATTCGATTGTTGCCTTTCGAGCGTGGTGATTTTCTTGTGTCCGGGTACGCCCGTTCCCGCTCGACTTTACCGTACACCGGTGATGGATTAAAAATTTCATATCCTGTTTCGCGAATTCACTTTGCCACGAGAGGCGAACAACGTACGGGAGTTTTTCGCGGGAAAAGAAGTTCTATTTTTGCACAGGGCGCCGAGTGTTACGTTCTAATTCCTCCTCGTATCCTTTATGCGCTTTTTCCTCGCAATCGCTCCTTCTACAAACACTGTAATAAATCTTCGAGTGCTGGGATGCGAATCGAAAATTATTTAGCATCAAACAAATGATATGTATGTTATAATATAATATAAAATATTAGAAATATAATATTACATGTAATACAAATCATTGATGTTAAATATGGAGGATGTCGACAATGTTATTTTTTTATATTGCCTCATATTAATATTATCTGCAATGATCTTTCGCCGAAAATTTGTAATGAAAGTTCATTGCTTATGTCATCATAGGAATTTTTGAAATGCATAAAACGCGAATTTCTCTATTTTGAATATCATATTAAACTCCAATTTCCAATATCGAAAAACACAATACAATATCGACCTCAAAAAATCATTTTGGAATTTTTACATATTTTTTTAAAATTTATGATACGTAAATTATGCATTATTGTATTAGTGTAAATTTTGGTCAATATTAAGAGATAATAATGGTATTGGTTTTAATTGCATCGACCTGCTTTTCGCAGCTGCACTCCAATTTTTCTCTCTTTCCCTCTGCTTTCTCTCTTTCTCTACCGCAGGATACATTCTCTGGCAATGATCAATCTGCGCGAATACGCACATACATGTGCGTTGGCGAAACATTGCGATCGAGCGTCCAATGGAATCGTGCGAGCTGGCCGCGCATTATCCACTTTAGCGGATATAGCGACGCGGAGCGGATCCCAAATTGAAGTTTCGAATTAAACCGCTCGGATGATCCGTCTCATCTGCCGAAGTCGCTTTAAGGCTCGCGCAATTTCGTTGTCGACAAACATGTCGTCGTAAAGACTAGTCGGCTTTAATGCGGAATTATGGTCTCCCGGAATTAATTTGTCGATTCCACCGCAGCGCGCCTACGAGACCGGAGCAACGAGGCGTCTGGAAGCGCGGTAATGAGCATCTAAATTACTCATTATCAAACTTGCTCGCCGCTCGAGTTGCTTGATTACACGCCGATAAAAGTGTAGTAATGAATCAGACTAACTTAACTTTTGATTACATGAAGCGATATCTGAATTCACAAATGCCCGTTGGATCTCAACTAATTAATTAATAAAAAGATTACTCATATGACATTGATTTTTTGGACCAGAAGATAAACAAAGTTCATGGAAGATAATGCTTTTCACATATATGCACAATAAATGTTCATGTGTGAATGAAGTACGCAAAGATACAGGCATTGAAGACGCTTGAGGAGATGCAGGGATTCGGGGCTTCGAATTAAATAAATCACAATAACACATTTATCAGTCATTTCCTTATTCAGGTGACAGTGTCTCGCATACGAAGTGCGACAGCTTTCAGTGGAAATGTCGATGCAAAACTTTCGGGATCTCATTTGACGCGCGTCGTCGCGAAAAAGTGCACTCGCACGTCTGTGCATCTATGGTAACCATATTCAACGCACGTCCCACGAGTTTATCTTGGCAAAGAGGGGCTGACATATTGGGATCGTCTGGCCGCATTTATGTGCCCTCTCTGCTCCAACTCGATGGCCTGCCGTAGAAGCGCGCGATCTTCTCTCTGCAGCTCTTTCTCCATTCCCTCTGATTCTTAAGCACCACTTCTAGCGGTTAGGTCACTTCCGCTATTTTCTGCTTGCGCCGCGTCAAGCATCTGAAAACGCAACGCATCTCAAAGGAATATCATTATTCTCCGACTTTTCTCTGTTTTTCCTCTTACTGGAATCGTGAAAAGGAAAACAGGAAAATCGGAAGTATGAAACTGTTAAATGTAAAATTATCTTAATTTTTTTATAATTGTTTGCACACATTATTGAAAAATAGTTTTAATTAAGCAATATGACATATGTAAGTATATTTTGGATATATCGTTTTTTTACATTAAAAAAAAAAGTTTCTCAATGATTAGGTTGAAATTGAAACAATCTCTTAAAAGAAAGAGAAAAAGAGAAAGAGCCTGTTTTTCATCATGTTGCGTAAATTGTTATGCATAAATTAAAGAACATTATCGTCGTAAACATTAAACTTTTTTTCTTATTCTTTTTCTTATTAAACTTTTATACTATTTAAAATAAGATGCATTTTAAAAAGAAGAATTTAAAAATGAGCTAACAGCTCAAATGAATTGCGAAATACGAAAGGGATTTTGAATTTATATTGACATCCACGTCGGCTACTGGCAATTTGCATCTATATCTACGAAGCGATGGCTAATACAATTTTCAAGCGCGTCTTTAGTGAAACGGTAGCACGAATTTATGAATATAGCGTAAAAATTCACGCCGTTACGCGGATGGCAGAGTCGAATTTATGCGACAGTTTTAACGCATTTTGTTTCTCATTTGCGAGCATATTTGTGTTGCAAAACATGAGAAAGAATTGCTAAATATTGAATATTTTTCGGTAAATGTCGTAAAAATCTAGACATTGTAATAAAAAAAGTGAAATCTGTAAAAAATCCATATCAAAATTTTGAAAAGTATTTCCATATTATTTATCGATCGTAATTACTAAGCCAAATATTACTTTACAAAATTGCAATTAATAAAAATTGAAATATTAATAAATAAATTTAATATTGAACATCAAACAAAAATAGTTTTTAAAAAGAGTTTTATCGATATGACCTAAATACCTCGTAAATAAAAGAAATTTTTATTGGCAGCTGAGGAATATCTAATTAAAGGTCTCGCGCGCGAATCTAGAATATATTGTATAAGTAAATTTTTGAATTTATAAATAGAGTGATGATCAGTTAATGTTTAACTTATTGGATTGAATAGCTAATATTGAAAAATTACTAATGTAATATATTATCTGTCATCAAGAAATAAAATAACATTTTTTTTATAAAATAAATTGATAAGCATATTAATACATAGATAATTGCAATAAAAAACAATATCCTGAATGTACTGAAACAATTTGAAATAAACAATATTAAATTAAATATTGCATTGACAAATTTATTGTGTCTCGCAACATCATGATTCATAATCCTGATTTTATCATTTAACGTTCGATTATCAGAAAATATTAATTCCATAGGGATTGTAGTTTTCCATTTCATATAAATTCATTTAAATTTTATCCTTAAAAAAAGGTTTGTTTCTATTTTTTCGCAACTCACGATTATTTTAAAAGGCATATAGTATTAAAGATCTGCATTTGTACTGCACGAATGATACAAATGCGAGATAGGATGGAAAGAGAGGTATCGCCAGAATATTTTATCCGCTAACCTTGATTTTCATTGAAACCACTAACACGTTTCAGATTTCTAGGCAACTTCATAATTATGCTATTTTCTCGCTACAGGTGTAGAATGAAACAATGGAGACAGGATTTGCCACCGACTTCCGTTATAATTACTTTCCACAATGAAGCACGGTCTACGCTACTCAGAACCGTCGTCAGGTAAATTTGAAACAATTTTACTTTACACAAAATGCAAATGCAGAGTTACACTTCAAATTTAAATACATGGATCTTCTTTTAGTATCTCCTTAATATTTTGTATATTATAATTATACTTTGTATGTAAACTTGAACAAAGATTAGGACATTTAATTGTTTGTTTATGAAGTCTTTTTTAAAAATATTAAAATAAAAAATTATTAAAATTGAAAAATAATACAGAAATTGAAGTGTTCATAAGTTCTGCAAAAATAAAATATAAATTTAATATGTGAACATGTTTGCGATTAAATTTCCAAACGGTAGATCATAGGACAAATTCTCATGCGATTGTAGATGGTATAGATATATGGGACACGATAATCTTCAATTCTCGATACGATCAACGGGGATTGTGGGAAACGCGCGAAGATTTTCAATTCGAACCGGAATTGGGTGACGGCGATGGAATTTTTTAATCGTCGTTCCATCGCTTTATATCCCTCGCATTTATTATGCGCTCGTATATACATGAAAATACATATATATGTATAAATGCTACGAATCGAAGAGAATTCAAAACATCTTTGTCAAATATATATGTGAAGAAAACATAAAAATTAATTTCTTTTCATTCTTTTATGAAAAGTATAAATTACTATCAATTAATAATAAATAAATTAATTTAATTTGGTAATAATTTTTTTATGAGATAACGCGTTTAATGTGGCGCTTTAATTTACATTATATACATATTCCTCGAAAAAATATTTCGTATTTATAGTAAAATTATAAAGAGAGAAACACTAAAATATTTTAACTAAATTATTTTAAATTTGCTTTTTTTAGTTTCTTGTCAACCGTATTTTAAATATTTTTTAAATGTTATTGCCGATTAAAGTACAATATTATGTCTGATATTTTCTGTGTAAAATTTCATGTTTTTTTCATTTTATTTCTATCCAGAAATATATTATCCAGAGACATAAATCATTACTATTTCTCATAAGTGTCATAAGGGTTCTCGTATTAATTAAACGTTTTTCACTACGGGGCGTCTCGCCCCAAATGAAGGAAAGTACGAGCCACATTTCTCGCCGGAGGTAGCCTCCGTGCAAAAGTTGCTCCAAGTTTCTCATCGTCGAATCGGAAGAAGGAAGCAGGCAAGAGTCGGAAAATTTATTTAAGTTTGTAACGCGTGGCGGCGTCAGAAAGATATATCGGCTCTATCGCTTTGGTCGATGAAATTAAAAGGAAGTCTTAATTACCACGGCGAAACCGCACCTCACCACGACCGTGATGTGGCGCGCGAAATTCTTCGCGATCAATTTCACGTCTTGTCAAAGTTTTCTACAAAAGTCAAGATGGTATCTTAATTCGATTAAAGAAATTAAAAAATTATAATCTTTTGTTATTTGATCAATATATTTGCAATAAGTCTATGTGTTAAAGATTAATTTAAAGAGAATCGTAAAGTTGAACAATTTTTTTATAAAAAGATAATTTTAAGTAATAAAAGATGCTCTAATATTTACAATAATTTTCTTTTATATTTAAATCTCTTAGTATTTACAATAATCCTCTTATATTATATTCGCAAATATATATAGAATGGAATAAGGCAACACGAGAATATTCAAACAAAAGGCAAATGGTCAGGCAAAATCCTCGAAACTGTGATAAAAGATTCAATGGGACAATCTGAAGCTTCTGTTCTTCTCTTAATCCGGTACCTCACCTTTATTCGACGTTAATTGATTGGAAATGTTTATATAGAATTGAATTATATAGTGATTTACACAGAAGAAAGAAATGGCGTATCGAGATTTTTAAATTGAATAACTGAAATGAAGAAAGAGATTTAGATTGAAAGAACGATCTTATGTCAATGTTAATATTTAAGATCTTACTGTGATTAACAGTATGATACATACGTAATGACGATTCAATAATGTATGATTTATGCGCGTTTGATTCATAATTTCCGAAATTTTTTAAGTAGTAAAGTAATAATGATTTTTAAAGATAATATTAATAACAGTTATTAAATTTAAAAATTTTTAATGAGGTTTGTATACAAGTCTTTTCTTTCTCTTGCTTTTAGTGTATTGAACAGAAGTCCGGAGCATCTGATTAAGGAAATTATTCTGGTAGACGATTTCAGTGATCATCGTAAGTAGTCCCATATATTATATATTTACAAGCTCGAAAGTGTGTTTTTTTTTCCAAAAAAGAAGACAATAATATTAATTAGAATAATTTTATGTATCAAACATAAGTTTTAGATCTTTTAAATTGTAAAATATAACAAATAAAGTATTATAAGATTTGATATGATACATAAATAAAACCGAATTATACTCGTGGATCAATTAATTACAAAGAGAATATTGCGTGTATAATATTTAACATAATTTATCGTAATTAAAATGTAAATATAATATGTATATTCGATTACGGAAAATTGTGCTTAATATTACATTTAATACTGCATTTAATATTGTATACTACTAAAGAGTAAGTGAATCGTGGCTAATGCGTCATTTATGATACTATTTATCATCCTAAACGGCGCATCATTAAATTATGATCTCGAATTTTGCTTACATATACTCGATAATCGCATTTGAGTTTGTATTTTTTAACGAAATTATATATTTTGATTAAATGAACAGAAATAATAAATTGCAAATAAAATAATTAAAATAATTAAAATAATAAATAACATCGCATAATGAAACACGCAAAATGTTATTTTAATCGTTACATAAATAATATGAAACGTTCAATTAATATAAAATTAAAAGTAAAAACAAAAAAGATTGATTTCTTTGCAGCCGAAGATGGCGAGGAGCTATCGCGAATCCATAAAGTTCGTGTCATCAGAAACGAAAAGCGAGAGGGATTGATGAGATCGCGTGTTCGCGGGGCAGATGCAGCTACCGCGAATGTATTGACATTTTTGGATTCACACTGCGAATGTAATGCCGATTGGCTCGAACCACTTCTGGAAAGGGTGGCCGAGGACCCAACCAGAGTGGTCTGTCCCGTGATCGATGTAATCAGTATGGATACTTTTCAATATATCGGTAAGTGTATCGTAAACAACGATGAATGTATTGTTTGTATTTTTGAAATAAAAAGATAAGATTCGTTCTCTCTTTTTCAGATATCATAAATATCTCTACGTAAACAATACTTTTTCTTAAGCGAATCAAACGTTTTGTACCTTATTCTTAGGAGCTTCCGCTGACCTCAGAGGTGGTTTCGATTGGAGTTTGGTCTTTAAATGGGAGTATCTCAGCCAAGCGGAACGACAAGCGAGACAAAAGGACCCGACGCAAGCCATTAGGACCCCTATGATTGCTGGCGGACTGTTTGTCATCAACAAAGCGTACTTTGAGAAACTCGGCAAATACGATACACAGATGGACGTTTGGGGTGGCGAGAATCTCGGTATAGTTATACAGTTTCATGTACAGAGTATGAAGTACATTTGGGAAAAGTAATAAATATTATATATACGTTATGATTTTTTTAAATAGTTTTAATCTCTCACATTGCTCTTCTTTACAGAAGATGCAAGAATATTTTATAGAATCTTTTTTTTTTAACTTGTATTATAGTTTATATATTTTCTAAAAATAACATCTGAAGATATTTTGCTTTAAGAAAATTGCAAATGCCTGTTGCACGTGCTTCGTTACAAAAACTCATCTTGAGTTGCGAGATATTCGCAACTCAAGATGAGTACTTTGCAGCAGGGTAAACATTTTATTCAATATGGTCAAGAGTTAATTCTTTAACAAGTTTTAAATGTTTTAGATTGTATTAAGAAATATCATTGGCGTGAATATTAACTTATTTTTCATTATATCTGACAGTTACACATAAATAAAATTGAGAACATTTCGGTTCTGGAATGTTTAAAGAGAATCGCGATTATCTATTTTTTGTCATAAAAATCTATTGAATAAAATTCATCAAGTGACACTTCAGTCTTCAAGATTTTACACTTAATCAATATGAAGTGTCACGTTGTTTACGCTCGAAGAATCGACTATTCCTTCAAGTATCAAAAAAGATGTGTCTGTCGTTATATGTTTCAAACATGAAAGAAAACAAACTATTTGACAGAAACTACCGTCTTGTGCGCAGTTTGTAAGAACTTGGTGGAAAACATAGCGAGAAAACCAATATATGTCAGAAGTGTGAAATAAGTTTGACCTCATTTCGGAGAAGAAAAATTGTTGAGTTTCTTGGAGCAATGCTAATAATATTATTTCAATGTAGCGTAACTTAATGAAAAATTTATTTTATTGAAGCAGCACTTTTCTATTCACTAATATTATTTTCCAAATAATATATACGTTCGCTAATATTATTTTCCAAATAATATATACGTTATATATTTTAAGATAAAATGCTGTTTAAAACTTATCAACAAATCAGATTTTTATCTTCTCTTGTAATGTTCTATGCAACAAAAGCACTCTAGAAATACAAGGCATAATGCATAAAAATAAATTAGAGAGAAGTTTATGCATTCTCTTTTTGTTTTACTGCACTCTCTACTTCCTCTCTAGTATTTAACGCTTATACCGCTTGTAACTTTCTTTCAGAAATATCGTTCCGCGTGTGGCAATGCGGTGGTAGCTTAGAGATTATCCCGTGCTCACGTGTGGGTCATGTATTTCGCAAACGTCATCCTTACTCCTTCCCCGGAGGCAGCGGAAACGTGTTTGCCCGAAACACGAGGCGCGCCGCCGAAGTATGGATGGACGACTACAAGCAGTTCTACTATAATGCCGTGCCATTGGCACGAAACATCCCTTACGGAAAGTAAGTCTGGTTGCGCCGACGTTTCAATTAAACTCTCGAGAGACAGGGCTCTAATTTCATTGTACTTCATCGTGTTATTTAACGCCACATCAAAATACGCTACACATCTGAGTACATGACACGTGTAAAAATTTATTTTTTACAACTGGTTCTCTTCTCCTCTTTTGTCAATATATATCTTGATATTATTAAATATATAAAAATAAAAAATTTAATTTAAAAATGCAAAATTTGATTGTGTTGCAATATAAATTATATTTCAGTATTCAAGACAGGATGGAGCTAAAACGAAGATTACATTGCAAGCCTTTCAGTTGGTATCTGAAAAACGTCTATCCCGAATTGGTTATACCTACGAGCGAGGGTGGTCCAGGAGGCTCTTTGAAGCAAGGTACCGCCTGTCTAGATAGCATGGGCCACCTTCTCGATGGGAACGTGGGTCTTTACCCTTGTCACAATACCGGCGGTAATCAGGTGAGCATATCAGGGCACATAGGAATAATTTAAATTCAATAAGTCAAAATATATTCGTCAAACAGATAAACATCGATATACATTTCGCAGGAATGGGGTCTCACGAAAGATGGTTTGATCAAACACCATGATCTCTGCCTGACTTTACCGGTATACGCCAAGGGTACGACGCTACTGATGCAAATCTGCGACGGCAGCGAAAATCAGAAGTGGCGGCACTTGGAAGGCGGCTTGATCCGTCACACCAGAATACCTGTGTGCGTGGACTCGCGGTATCACGCGCAACGCGGTATCACGGCGGAGAAGTGCGACTCGAATGCGGAGACGCAGAGGTGGCATCTCTACAACCACAATCACTAGCTGATATGGTTGCGGTGAACACGCCATTCACTCGCAAGATTTTCACTTATTGTCACGCGCCGCGACGTGATCAAAGTCATTCTAAGATCGCGCTAAAGGCGCCGTTACTTAAGGGACTGGCTGTCCGCACGAATAAATCGATCGATTCAGGCGGGTTACTTATCGTATATCAGCGTATCTTTGTGCAATAATAGTGGCTCTTCTCATAATCTCCCATATGACATCGAGCAAGAGCCTATCTTGTACCATGCTGATTTGCAAGATCGTGATTTCCCGATGCAGCTTGTTTCATAAAGTTTAGATGAGAGTGTATTTGGATCCGGGAATATATATAATACTCTTTAATAATGTTATAAAAAAGTGGTATTACATAAGACGGGATAATTTCGCAGAAAAGAGTAAAAATTTTTTAAGACTGCTTGGTGTATATGATACCAATTAATAAGCTTCAGTTTTAATATTTATTCGAAATTTTATCGCTTTTGATCGTTTTCTTAGACAAGAAAACGTTAGAAATCATCACAATACTTCTTTTATAATGATAAAAAATTAATTCTTACTGATAGAGCAACGTCGCAATCGATGTGTGATAAGCGTAATTTATAGTAAAATAATGTAAAAAGTGTGGAGGAATGTGTGTACGAATAGACAATGCGGAATTGCATATACCGTTTCGATATTGTGACCCGAAGCACGTTGGTTGTAACTGCATCTTAAGTTTCGAATGCACGGATTACGGTATATACTTCATACGTGCGTTGGGTTTAAACAAAGAAAAATCATATATTATTGAAAGAGCTATTTTTAACACTTTTAGCCCGAAGAGAGTCATTCACATAATAGAACAAAGAAGTCTCTCGTATTCGCGGTTTAAAGTTTTAAGGAAAGCTAAGTGTGTATATTAAAAAATAATTAAATTGTATACGTAAACTACTCATGCATAGTTTTGGCTCATGATTATCAAACTCAAAGAATTTATTTGAGATATATATTACTTAAATAAAGTAATTAACTTATAGAGTATTGCATGGATGTGATCAGGTCATCATTTTTCGCAAGATGTGTCGTTTATAAAATCTCAATTTATGTGTAAATATAAATTTACAGTTTCTTTCGCGAAAAGGAACTCTCGCTAATATAAAAGATTTATATATAATTATATATACAAAGAGAATTTAAATTTAATCTCTGCTTTTTTCCAAACACCAATTTTTAAGCGATGACCTTATTTTATTAATTGTATTTCATTAATAACATTGTTACCATCTTATAGACTGATTTCATTTATTTATTCAATTGTCCATGTAAATTTACAATATTGCATATTATATATTTATATATATATTATATATATATATATATATATATATATATATATATATACACATTAACGAAATATAATAATTAATTAAATATAAATTAATAAAAAATATAAATTAATAAAATAAGGTCATCGCTTAAAAATCGGTTTAGAAAAAAGCAAAGATTAAATTTAAATTCTCTTTTTTTGTTTTATGTATAAATCAGAATCGATAAAAAGAGTATATATAAATCAGAATTTAATTATACATAGAAGACACAACTGAGTTCGACATTTTTACTAATTATATACTTATTATATATAGTTTATGATATTTTTATTGATTTACTTTACCAACTCAGATTCAGTGAAGGCCGATAATTTATAGTACTTGAATGTTCAAATGTAATGAGCAATTTATCTTTTTTTTATATTTAATTATATGTAATTTTTCTTTACACGTAGAAAGCCAAAGCTTTGGCATTACTTCATGTTTTAGATAATTGATAATATATCACAAACACCGTTTTGAGATTACGCTTTTAAGCAAATAAATGCAAAGAAGATTTTTGCTATATTTACACTAAAAAGAACCAATTATAACACAATTGTGTTCTCGTTTTACATCACATAAATTAGATATTTAAATTTTTAACAAAATTCACACACATAATGAAAAATTTTATTTTTCTTTTAGAATGTTTTGAAAAATATATAGTAATACATTTTTTGCACAATCCGAAAATTCACAAATTTTGTACTAATTTTGATTTACATATGACTGTGAGATTGTACAATGAAGCTTCTTAGCAACTGATACTGCTATTTTGATCAGTCTCGAAGTCACGCAAAATCCGTGCAAAATGTTATTTTTATTCGATCTTAGTGTGTATACGGCGCGCATTTTTATAAATCCGCCGATACCTAACTCCGTAATCAAACAAATTGCGATGAACAAAACGCTTTCTCGTCAAAAATATGCGCTATACGAGATTCGCAGAAAAGAGATTTATTTTTGTAACTAATTGTATACTTACTTGGTTGTGCGAAAAGCGCGGCGTAACTGAAGCGTATGAGCATACTTAACATATTGTAGCTCGATAATAATATTTAAAAAATAAATGAATTAAAAGATATTTGAGTAGGATTCGAGTCTATATATTGAGTTTTAATTCTTAGAAATAAAACATTAATTCTTTGTAAAGTTTTTAATTGCTTTTCATTTGTAATTAGAAATATAATTTTTATTTTAATAATTGTTAATCTAAAAAAATTCAATTTAAAAAATTATAAATTATATAAAAATGTGAGAGTTCTCTTAAGTGCATTTGTCGCACCTTATCGATTCGTCTACAACGTGTTAAGTGAATCAAAGTGGCAGTTGACACAACTAACGTAGCAATATGTATTAGCAGAAGACGTGATCTTTTGTATACTTATACTTTCCGATGATAATCTTACTGCCGTTGCTTCGTGCTGGGACTATAATAAACACGCGAAGCAAGATAAATAATAATATCTTAATGAACTTTTGTATAATACACGAGCATCCATATTACATCTAGCTAGCTGGCTGCAATACGGTAAAAAATTCTTTTGATATCGATATTCTCTCTATACGTAGGTTTATAATAACTTCAATATAGATATATTATGCGATCGATTCTTCTATGTCCCAATTACGAAGGCGATCGCATATTATGAAAATAAATTGCTTCTGAAAATCAAAATGTCTAAAAAATATCTGAGATTTTTATTGTATCGTCGCACGAGAAAAAGCACCGTTTAAAACATTTTCCTTTAATCAGTTAGCGATGATATATATGTAGACAGTAAATATGTATATGCATATGAGATATATTCCTGTATTAACGCGCTTCCTTTCGGCTATAGATGCTTTAAAGGATTTCGACTAAGTCGACTTTCCATTAGAGATTGAAAGAGAAAAGTCTAATTACAGAGTCAGTCAACATTGGAATTAAAGGATTTTGCCGTCCAAGCTGCAAGAACATAGATAATGGAACTCTGTTTTCAGATAATTTAAAGTCTTATAGACAAATTTGCACACGAAGCTTAATTAATGAAATGCTTTTAATAAAAAATGATTTTGAAAATTAAATCTAATAATTACAAGAGATTAGAATTTAATCCTTTCGATATTAACTAATAAACAAAGAAAATTGTGCTGTGCTTATCTCTCCCATAATTGTAATTGATCGAGGAAAAGTTTAATGAATTTTAATTAATTAAATCAAAAATAAATACGAGAAACCTGCGATATTGAATACGCACAGATAAAGGCAAACGCGTGCGCAGAAATTCCTGAAATACTGCTTTGTAAATAATTATGCATATTCTATATATATCGATCACCTCCCTCCCGTCCTGACAATTCCAAAAAGCTTGTTTTGCAATCAGCGATGTACAACAAGTATTTATTACTCGTTTCCGCACTTCTCACGCAAACGAGATCACCATACACATACACACATGCACACATACACACAGATACACATACACACTCATATATCTGTAAATATATATCCACGACATAAGAGAGAAAAGATATAGATATAAGTTAACGAAATGTCGCACTTCCAAAATCAGTCAAATAAGATAATAGGCAATTTGAGTCTAATATTAAGATAGCGGATAATCAGTCAATGTTAATATAGGTGTATTCAGTAATATGAAAATTTATACTCAACAAGCGAAATTGTGGTGCAGATAGAAGTAAGAGAGTGCTGTATTATATTGAAAAGTATTTACACTCTTGTCATACGAGAAATACAATACATTAGTCTGATATTTTGTCTGATAAGAACAATTTTGGATATCTTTGGAAAAATAATCCAGCGCTAGTTTGGCATCCGCTACTTTCAAATTATAATAATTTTGCAGCGAGATTTTGAAATGGCGACTGCATTGAATTACACAAGGTATTAGCATATTGAAAACTTTATATACTACTTGAAGTAAAATATCCTAATTCAAAAAAGCAAAATCAAAAGTAAAATTGAAAAAGAATATGAATTAATGCTCGTGTATTGTATTTTTACAACATATTGTCAGTGAAAATGAGCGTAGAATTTTGTTTTGTCAAAATTGTTTTGAAACATTCAAAATATTCTGCAAGATCTAACAAGTGAAAAATATATATATTATTGAAAAAATGTGTATATAATAAATTTTAAGTATATTCGTTTTCAAAATGCTAAATATCAAAATTTCTCTGTATTTTACAAAAAATGTAAATAAATATATATATGTTAAGAATGCGATATATGACAGTAATTATAAAAACGAATTTTTTTTAATAAAATAGCGGGATATTTCCGTAAATTTATATTTGTGTAACAAAATTCATTTTTCAAATTACTTACTTATTTCATATTACGTTATAACTCACACCTCTATCGTATCATTGAAAAAATATCACTAAAGAAATGTCTCACAATTATTTTAGTTTTATTTTTGAATAGGCTTCTCTTCAGGTGGTATAAATGCTTGTGCTCTACGTTCTTCTCTTCTCTTGGCTGCCTCTTCGTGTTTCGCTTGGTATTCCTTTCTTCTCTTTGCCCTCTTCTGTTCCTCCTTCAAGAAGTATTCGCCAGATGCCATCTCCTTATCGATTTTGCTTTCTTGTTGAGGTGGAGGGAATGGTGTGTACGGTTTCTTCACCTTCTTCTTTTTCGGTTCTTTGCGCTTACTTATATTCTTACTGTTATACTTTGGAAGATATTGCTCCCAATTTTCATTCTTCAACTTTGGATTCTTGGCAAGTTCTCTCTTGAGCATCAATGCTTTCAGACTATAAACTGGATGAATATTCCTCATTGTATCCTCTACTACTTTTCTCACTTGCTGTAGGCCCTTGTAAGGCCCCAGTGCCGATACAGTTTGACCCTGGACTACGACATAACAATTGGTGAGCAGTTCAATGGATTTCAGATTGCATCCATTTGGTCCAATGAGTCTTTGTCTCCTTTTGACAAACTTAGCCTTATTCCTGACAAGCGAGGATATCTTTATGACATCTGCAGCAATGTCATCCTGGAGGACTCTCACCGCCTGTTCAAAGGGTACAGAACGAGCCATGAGCTTGATCATGTCGCGTGCTTTGACGATAATATATGGATCCCACGTTTTCCTAGTGGTTTTCACTGTCATACTACCTTCGACGAGATCCAGCTCAGCCTTGACATGATGCTCGGCCAGTGCTTTTTGAACCAATGCCCAGTGCTCCTTCAAATACTGCTCCCGATATTTCGGGAACATGGTTGCAAATGAACTCTCTTCGAGAAGACGATGTGGATTGTCTTTCTCTTTAAACTCTGGAATTTTTAACGACCATGCATTGTCGATCGGTCCGTTCTTCGAATCCATCTTTACAAAATGCAAGACAGTTTTCTTTTTCTTTTTACTCCCTTTTATGGATTTCCGTCTCCAGGAAATCGGATTATCACGTGCCACAAGGTTCCAAAACTCAGGTTATGCGTGGTGGAAATTTGCGCATGTACAAACTCTAGCAGCCGCTGTTACGTCTCAAACACGTACATATTTCGTCGAAAAGAAGGGTCCTTCCAAAAAAATTAAATCCCTCACAAAAAAGTAATAAAAAGATATGTATATGTAATATTAATATATACATATTTAATATGTGGAATTTGTTAATTAATCAACAGATTATTAATATATATTAATATAAATCACAAGATGTATTGATAAAGTTCTTGCGGGCCCCAACAAATGATCTACGTAATACGGCTCTGTTAAAGTTGATCATGTGACCTAGAATACGATATATATAGAATACTATATATATAGAATATGATATATATAGAATACGAGACATCTATAGCAAAATATACGAAGAGGTATGAATTAAAAATAATTAATGATCAACATATTGTAAAATACTCATTTATTTTTATCTATACATATACTTAAAAATCCAGAGTAAGCTAAATATTCGTTAAACTACAAAGTTAAGATGATTTTCTAAATTTCATATTCGTCGATCAATGAAATGTATTAATATCATTTGTTTAATAGTGGTTTTGATATGCGTTTGAAAATATAATAATGACATTCTAAATTATACATTATAATTTTTATCTTCTCTCATATTATTCATATGGAAACGAAGGCTACTATACTGAATCTAGTATATACTAGATTTTACGCATATTGTAATCTTTGTAGTTTAACGAATATCTAGCTTATTTTGGATATTTAGGTAATGTCTGATGATATTAGCAGTGATAACGAATCACGAGCGGTATTTTCAGTCGTCATTGAAAGTTTTCTACGCTCAGAAAGTCAATGATTCCCGACAAAAATCAAAATTCGTCACGTGTAGTTCACGAAGTGAGTCCAAGAAGCAGATTTCGAATATTCACTGTAAGTCAGCTGCTCCTCGGGCGATCGGAACGAGATTTAAACGGTAGTGCCGCGAAATGGTGTAGAATTTTATGCAAAAAGAACGAAATCGCTATCGCGTCCTGAAGTCGAGATATAAATTGGCCGTTTTTCGTCTGCGCGCGGACGATCGAAATCGTACACGACGCCGCGCATGTTGCCTGCCTCTCTCGCGCGATATTCACTGTAACGCGGCGAGTAAAATGGCAAGCTGAATTTAATCGTTCGATTAATTGATTAAATACTTATATATACCGAAAAGATGAATCGGAATGCAATCGTTCGATTAATTAATTAAATATTTATATATATAAATATTAATATTTATATATATAATTATATATATAATATTATATATAATTATATATAATATTAAAATATTATATTATATATAATGTGAGTCCAAGAAGCAGATTTCGGATATTCAATAGCCCTAACAACCCTATTACTAAGGATTCTAATAATTTTAATAGCTCTAACAATCCTACTATTACAGAATTCTAATGATTTTAAGAGCCTTAACAACCCTAATATTAATAAAAGAATTTTAATGATTTTACTTAGTAGCCTTAACAATCCTATTTCCTGATTAACTAAAATCATTCGAGATTTGAGGAACCTATCTCTAATCATCACCTCACCTAATCATGTATATATTTTAGTCACGTGCCCTAACCGCGTGCCCTAATCGCGTGCCCTAACTGCGTGCCCTAACCGTACTCTTCAGACCAATTGAACCTACCTTTCGTTGATCCACTTTCTTTCTTGATCACATCAGAGATCGAAGAAGGAGAAAAGTATTCCTTCTTTTGCCGAATAATTACCGGCAAAAGAGCGTGAAATATTTACTCTCATTTAGTAACGATCGTTTAGTTTGATTTCACGATCGTTCATTAAATATTGAATATAACTTTATTTTAACTGAAATAAAACCAAATTACTACAAATTTCTATAAATTGTATTTTATAATAAAATATAAAATTAATGTGTGTATTTATTATATTACAAATTATTTAATTAATTAATCATTTGATTTTATATTAAGTTAAAGTAAAGTTTAAAAACAATATCTACAAACAAATTCTACGATGGATGAGCTATGAGCAATTAGAAAATAAGTGCATATTATAAGAATAAATTAGCATCAAAAATTAATAAAATTGATAATTGTTAATAGGTGTTCTTTATTTAATAAATTGAACAAAATCTTTACAAAAAAATTTTTTCTTGATCTCTTCTTTTTTTAATTAATATTTTAATATGTTTTTGCAAAAGATGTAAAGCATAAGTTCGAAAGGACTTACTAAAATTATTTTATTTATCTAATTTAATTTAATTATATTTATTTATTTAATTTAATCCATCCTAGCTCATCCATTTTAAGGCAACGGATTTATCTACGATCTACAATCTACATCTACATCTGCAATCTCTACGAATCCGTTACCTTAAAGTTAAATAAAAGTTTTTTTCACTCACCAACACTGATGCGCAACAGCGGAGTTGTTGTTATCGAAGCTAGTTGTCTGTAACATACAAATATAAAATTCATTTATAATAATGCTCACAAAATGCAATTAATATTTAAACAAATTTTTATCGCGCGGAATTTTATATCCAATATGTAAAATAATAAGCAGATAAACACGTATGGAAAAATTTTATATTTTTGAAACTGTTTTTTAAATAGAAAATTTTATATGACTTTTATAAAAATTTTTCTCTTTAAATCATTTAAATAACGAGATCGAATTATTATTCGTTTATAACAAGTTAACGATTTATAACACTTAATATATAAATAATAGATATTCACCATCAGGTTGCTCCGCCGATGCAAGATGCCTCTCCCAGGCCTCCTCCTCCTCTCATGTTGTTGACGTGCGATACTTTCAATGACACTCCCGCACTCACGAGCGATATTTTTATATCGTTATTTTCGTTATTTTACGCGCGATACTAAACGGCACTCCCGCACTACTTCGGTATTCGGATTAAAAATTTGGTCGCGCGATGTATATATTTAATATATATATACTTTCGACGACACTCCCGGTTTCGGTACGAGCGAAAATCTCATTTCATTTACGAGACTTAACTTTGAGCCAACAGGTCGGGAGTGCAACGATACAACGAGCAAAGATTAGGCCCGAACCGGAAAGAAGACGAAACGATTGACGGAATAGAGGAAAATAAAGTTCACCAGCTCTTTTTCGCGCATAATTATCCTATCTCGTATCGAACCTGGACCCGCTAAGCATGATTTCAGGTGCTTCGCCCGGAACACGAAGTTTCCCGCAATGCAGGATATGGCTACACCAGGCTGGTAGACGGTAAAAGAAGAGGATACCACATTTTTTAAATGCTAACATTCAGTAATTTAAAAAATGGGGAGGCAACCCCTTTTACCGAGCGAAAATCATGCTTAGGGGAATCCACTCGACTCCTCGACAGGGTTAACACACGCAGTGCGTGTGGCTGTAGGGTAGACGAGCAAAGAGAAGGGACCCATTGACGACTATTCCGAGCAATCGATCGAGTTCTAACTAATTCGGGCCGAATCATTTGACGAAGTACGAAGCACGAAGCGCGAATGTACGTTGCATAACAACGTGTGCAAACTCGAAACATCCCAGTTAGTTGGCATCGAAAGTAGAGACTCGTGACAATAAATGAAATTGGGATTTTATATGAAAAAGTCCAAAATTTCCGCGAAAACGCGACGACGCGAGAATACTACAACGCGGAAACGCGGTAACGAAACGCTTGCCGTCCGCGGCACGTTGACGGCACCGACGACGCGAAAGGGTACTTAGCTTCCCTTTCAAGCACCTTAAGATTTATCATAAATAGAGAAATTTAAGATAAATCTCAAGACACCATCCAAGTACTAAGCCCTCCCACCGCGACAAGGTGTACCCCATGGGAGGGTTATATTATATATAATTTTATATATAATATAATATATACAATTGCAACATTTATTTTGCAATATAGTATATAAATTTAAATTTGCATAAAAAGACCGTAAAACAAAATCATTAGCACGGTATTGTTTATATCGGATATTATGTTATTCATTGTTGAAATTCATTATTAAAATATAATATAATTTGAAATGTAATACAACATAATTTAACAATTTTTTTTTTTTTTTTTTTACGTGGGGAAAATGCTCCTTATGCACACCCCGACGGGATCGCTATTTAGCGGTCCCGTCGGGGTAGTGTTGGGCTCTCCCCGCCGCCATTTTAACGGCAGGGACTACCAACTAAAAACCCCACGCGCCTTTCCTTAGTCTTCCAACGTGCAAGTCCCCGGAACCATGTGCATAAGGAGCATTATATGGAGTAGCCCTAACAAACTACTATCCTATTATATGTTCATAATATTCACTATATTCAATATTATATACATTCAATATATATTCACAAATATCTGAAAAAAGTAATTTTCTTAATATCTTCGATATTAAACTTTAATAATATAAGCTGTTTAGAAATTTATATAAATAAAATTAATGAAATACAATTAATGAAATTATATATATCTCAAAATATATATAAATATATAAATTTTATAAAAATTATTATTTAAATTAAAATTTTAAATACACAAACATCTATATATAAGAAAATAAACATATAAATTTTATATAAAAATTATTATTTAAATTAAAATCTTAAATGTATATATAAGTATATAAATATATAAATTTTGTAAAAATTATTATTTAAATTAAAATCATAAATATATAAATAAATGAATATATAAATTTTCGAAAAGTTATTATTTATAAATATTATTTAAATTAAAATTTTTTTTGAAATTTTAATAATAAATCTTTTTCTATAAATTCTATTCATTCTTTAATATCTACTCATTCTTAATTCTATTTTAAATCTTTCAATTTCTATATTTAAAAAGATACATAATATTTCCAAAAGATATATAATATAAAATTAGCTAAATTAATCACATAATAGCACTAACAATCCTCTACTTTTTGAAAGGAAAATTGAAAGGAAAAAAACCTAATGATGACCTAATAGCATGACATAATAGAAAGGAATACCTAATGATGACCTAATAGC